TGATTATACCAAGCTATTACTACCACAAACCTTGTGCAATATATAATAGATCTACATATAGCCTAGGTCACGAATATACTAGATATACTAATCAGATCCTTTGGTTGACCATAAACCCTCTATGGGTCCCTGTTTTACATCTCTTTTAGTAGTTTATTATATTGTCTATAACAATAGAAAGCCACATACAGGCATACCATAACTTTTCGAGCCTCAATGTAGCATTCATGTCATGCTTTTGAACTTTTAGAGACGCACATAGTTAATTGAAACAATTTAAATTGAAAAAAAAATTGATTCTAATTACCTTGTCTTATGGAAAATTTATTGCCTATCCTGATCTTTAAGTGTTGCAAAATGGTTTGAGATCACACAATATTTCACTGAAGCTCATTAGTGAAACTTTACTGTGAACATCATTAAACATGGGTTTTGTTTACTAATCAGCAAGCTAGTGCAATCATGGTGCAATGAAGAAACAAAATGTGAAAAAATATTAAAATCGGACCTTTTCTACCAGATTTTGAAGTGCATGTTATTAAAACCAAACAATTTACCTTGTTTGGCCTGGTATACTGGTAATTTGGTAAAGAAAGATTATGCTCACACTCGCCAGTGTACCCGGTTGTATGGTTTCTCGATTGATATACAATGTACCATGTTCATAGTTTCCATTTTAATTCACCCACCTAGTTCTTTTCAAAAATGAATTATTAAAATTGTTTTTTTTAATCGTGACTTTCTAAAATAGATTTTAAAATCTATTCTTTTAGTTTGTGCTCTAATAGTACTTTATGCATGGCATCAAAATCATTATCAAGACAAAATAGAAGATGAAACAAAACATATTGCAAAATGTTTATTTGTTTATTAAATTATGTTCACCATCATGTTGTGTACTTTTCCAGCGGACACAGAAGATCTTAAGATCTTAACACAACGTACCAGTGACATTTAAAAAAAAAATTGAACTTCAATTTTTTTACTCTCAAGTCTTTTTTCTGTAGCGTTATTTTTTAAAAGAATTCGTGTTACTATAGTTGTTATCTACCATCAGTTGTTTGCTTTTAAATATTTTATCATATTTTTTAATTTCAAAAAGGTGACCAATGTCTTGAAGTCCCCAACCAAAGAATCTACAGTGATTACCAAATATTTTCCCATGAGTCCAAAAGCACAAAATGAGAAAAGCAGTGAAGAGAAAAAAGATATTACCAAAGAAAGTCAAGATCAAACCAATGCACTAGATTTAAAGTTAGAACTTGCAACCGCAGGTAGGAAATTAATTGATGCACATATGTTTTGTCATTAAAATTTTTGTGTACATTGAATCACAGAGTATTTAGTTTTCTCCTAATGAATTTGGAAGGTTTTATGAAACTAATTTTTCATTCTGTGTCAGTCATTTTTAGTTCCTGAAACGGGGACTACAGGGTTCTCCCCAGAAAAAATGCATAGCGCCGGGGCTAATTTGCATAATAATTTGCATATCATTTACATATCTTTTCTTCATTGATTAACAGAACTTATTTACAATTATGAATATTAGTGAGCTCAGTCACAGGGCAAATATTTTTTTTAATGGAATCAACACATTATGTTTCACAATTTAGAAGAGTTTGAAACATTCTCGAAATACAAATGCTGCAGACTAAAAACAAACACAAATAC